GCGGGCTGGGCTGGGCTGGCTGGGCGCTGAGGGGCAGCCCTGAAACTGAAATTGGTTTATTCGAAAATGGCAAAGTTGTGTCCCGACCGAAAATATGAGCTTTCGAATGGCCAACAGGAACAAGCAATTTCTATTTATTTCTTTCTTGAGGGTTTAGGGTTTAGGGTTTCGGGTTTAGGGTTTAGGGGTTTAGGGTTTAGGGTTTTAGTGTTTAGGGCATGGGCTTTCTGGGTTCGGGGTTGATTTGGGTTGTCTGTTGGGTCGAGGGCTTCGGGTGCAGGCAGTCATCATCGTCCTCATCGTCGCCATCATCAAGTTCACAATTCCATGTCCCCGAGCCTGAAAACGCAGACCCCTCAATCAACCTCCAGAATTAGGCTCTTCAGGCTTAGGGTCCGAGGGATCCAGAGGCCAAAGGAGCCTTCCCTCGCACCCGGACATCTCAAGCCTTAGGGGCTTAAGGGCTTAGCGGCTTAGGGGCTTAGCGGCTTAGGGCTTAGGGGCTTAGGGGCTTAGAGGGGTTTTGGGGCTTTCATAAGGGCCAAAACTCGGAATCCTCCAAGGGAATGGTTGAACAAACCCCGACCGAGACGGCTCGGCCCCAAAAGCCGTGCTACTGAGCTCCCGAAATATCCTGGGTTTAGGGTTTGGGGTTTAGGGATTGAGGGGTTTACGGTTTAGGGTTTACGGCTTAGGGTTGAGGGGTTTAGGGTTTAGGGTTTACGGTTTAGGGTTTACGGTTTAGGGTTGAGGGTTTAGGCTTTAGGGTTTAAGGTTTAGGGCTTAGGGATATCCTGGATCATGCCCTAAACCCGAACCGCGAAACCCGGAGTGCCCACCCCGGGCCTGCCCGGAATCGGGGTGCACGCCATAGGCCTCCCCGTGCTCAGAGCTTGTTTTGATAGTATATTACATTCCATTACATTACATTACATTATATTATATTATATTATATTATACTATATTGTATTGTATTGTATTGTATTATATCATATTATACCATATTATATCGTATTATACTATGTGATGTTATGTTATTTTCTATTCTATTCTATCATATGCTATTATCTTATCTGGCAATATATTCCCTTACATTACAGTACAGTACACTAACTTTATACTAGTTTGTGTTATGTTACATTTAGATAACGTGTCGTATGTTATATTCGTTGTAACATATTATTCTATGAGAAATGTCGGGCAACAAGGTTCGAAGTCCAAGGCTCCACAGCAGACATGACAAGTGCGCGTGCTACTACCAAGAGTTCCAAAAACACTACTCCGGCCACTGGCGCAGCTTCGAACGTGTCTAAATCTGGTGCCGCAATCACGACGACGACCATCACAATTACTGCAACTGTGGCTTCCATTTGTAGCTCCCGTGTCGATTGGGAGCGGTTCAAGAACAGGCTCTAAGGGAAAACTCGACGGGCCTGCAGCTACGCGCTGGCGGGGAAACTCTGAACCTTTAGCGCTACTCTCAAAGTCGCAGCAGCAACCCCGACAATGCACCTTTGCGCCCCCAAACCTCCTTGCATCCCTTCTCTGGAGCACGAAGCCTTCAGAAGCGTTGCGGCCCGGTCAGACACCTGCATCGCTCATTCTTGGTCTTCTGGGCTTTGGGGCATTGCTTGGGCATGGGTTCTGTGGAGGCGATTTCTGCCACGTCAACCCCACCCACCCCAATTCTGCAAGCTTCTGAACCTGAGGCCCCAAAGCCTCAACCCTAAGTTCTGTAAGTCAAGCCATTCTGCTCCCACACGAAGCACTTCTTCGCCCAGACCACCTTCGTCGGCAGCTGCAGGCCGTGATCCCTCTTTGCCTGCAAATATCAGTCTGATGGTTTTAAAAAAGGCATTGTTCAGTCGACGATGATGCTGCGGAGCCCCGCGGTGATGTTCATGATGATGCTCTACTCAAGTTGATGCTGGTGGTGATGATGGACAAGCTGTTGATGTTGTTGTGGACCGTCAATGCTGATGGGGACCATGTTCGAGGAGAAGAAGAAGCTGATGGTGCTGATGATAACGGTGAGGACTAATCAAATTGGTGGAAGTTCACACGCGGGACGACGGACACGACACGGACAGTGAAGAATCTTAGGACTGCTCCTGACTCTTCCCCTCCCTAGTACTCGCATGACCCCTCCTTGCCCTTGGCGCTCTTACCAGGGCTGTTATCGCCAGCACTGCTGCAGTATTTGCCATTGCCGTCACTACTGCTACTGCTGCTGCTAGCGTTGCTGGTATTATGTGCCATTGTTGCTCCTTCCTACTCCTACTCCTACTCCTACTCCTATTACTACCACCACCACCACCACCACCACCACCACCACGACTACTACTACTACTACTACTACTACTACTACTACGACTCCGACTCCGACTCCGACTCCGACTCCGACTCCGACTCCGACTACGACGACTACTACTACTACTACTACTGCTGCTGCTGCTGCTACTACTACTACTACTATTAAAACTACTACTACTACTACTACTACTACTATTAAAACTACTACTACTACTACTGCTACTACTACTACTACTACTACTACTACTACTGCTAGTAGTGCAACACTACTACAAGTACTACTAATAGTAGCTATGAGACTAGTCATCGCATTTGAAATTATAATCACCACACTAACAGTAATGACACAAATTGTATAATATTCATCAAAAATAATGATAGTAACAGGAATAGGAACAACAAAGAAAATGATAATAATAACAGTTAGTGATAAATCGCGAATAATAGTAACAGAGGTCGTTCCAACATTAGTGATAGTGATTAAAGTCTTAATAGATAATAATCAACATGAGAATGACAACTGCAATGATAACAATACTCATAATGATGGGAGTAGCCGTAACAACAATGATGATGATAATAGCAATCACGATATTCCGTCACGATAAAATAACAACGATAATAGTGATGATGATAATCATGATAGTAGTAATTATGAATGATACTTATCGAGATGTCGAGCCACAGCAGCGTAGCAGTAAACAGCAGTAGCACCAATACCCGTGAGCAAGAACAAGGCAAGACTGACAACAGCTGTTCGACAAGGTGTGTGTGTGTGTGTGTGATGGGCACAAGTTCTCGCCTATCTATCAGTGCGAGGCTTTTCATTCCATTCGCCGGCTTTTTTATCCCCATTGACATGGCGCCTGGACTGAACATTGGGGGTGGGTTCATGACTTCACACCGGTTGAGGGTCTTGGTGTTTGTAGACTTTAGGCTCTGCCTCTCGAAGTGCCGAGACCTAAACCCTTGAACCACAAGTTGAAGCTTGAATCTCACGGAAAAAATTTCTTGAACGCGGAGGCTACAAATGCAGTGAGTTTTTGGCTGGACTTGGGAGTATCTCCTAGCTATGGATATATTGAAGTCTTCAAGGTCCACACTCCATGTCAGGTGATGCCGCGAGTGGCCACTGGCTTCATCTCCTTCCTCTCGCTGCAGGTCTTCAGGCCGATCCGTGGATATTTTCGAGCAGGTTTAGGGGCGGCGGAGTGGCGGGGAGGGGAGGCGCTGAGGCAGGGCGAGGCTGAAGTTATCCGAAGTTGAGTCCTGGCAGTCTGATATACGAACTACCCGCAAGCTCAGAGGACACGCAATGTGCTAGGAGCTCCGTTGTTTTTGCAGTACAATATGAAACGATGGTGGTTTAGTGGTAGAAGCAACTTCAGCAGCAGTGGTGGGCGCAATGGGAGTCAGTTTGGTTGTGGTGCCGGCGGCGGCAATGCTGAGTCAACGAATCCGGATCCGCTTGATCCAGGGCTCGAGGCTTTGCAGACCGCAACGGTGTCCTCGGACAGTTATGGAAGATTCTGGCTTTGGGTTGTTGAGCTCGGGAAGCTTTGTGAGTAACACAACACCAGTTCACACGGCGTGAATCGAACGCATATCCTCGTGTAGGATGTCCAAAGACAAAGCTTGTCAAGGCACCCAGAAGAGCAGACGCCTGCAATGAATCTCAACTTGGAAGGACCTTGGCATACTCGATGATCCCGAAGCAGACATCCTCGCTTCTTTGGATGGACGTGCCTCATCCAACGCTTCGATGCATGGGTGTACTACTGACTAGCGGCATCATTCTCACTTTTGTCTTGCTGATGTTGACGATGGTGATGGTCGTAGTGATGGTGATGACTCTGGTGATACTGTGCCTATTGACATCGACATGCCCGCCAAGAGGGATTCTAGTTTCTAGAAGGTCTGGGTGGGCTTACCGGTTGCCGGTTTTCGAGTTGAGTTCGATTCTTCGCCCTCGAGAGATTTTAGGTCTCAGGGGTTTAGGTCAGTGCCTGGTTCAAAGTGTTTCGGGGTGTAGGGTCAGGGTGGGGGCCTGAACCCCAATGCTCTGACCCAGGTCACGATGTTCTGCGTCACAGTGATCATGTTTGCCAGCGTCCTGGAGAATGTCCTTGCGCAGGCAGGGATGCAGGGCTTAGGCTCAGGCTTTAGGAGCCCCAGCCTTCCAAGTTTGAACCCCAAAATTCCAAGCCCTGACGACTTAAATCCTATAGCTGGGTGCCACCCAGTGGGCTGTCGGGCTTGTGACGTTCGTGTTTTGTTTTCGTGCGAACCAATTAAGAAGGTCGCTTCGTGACCTTTTTGCTCCATTTCTTTGGCCTCCGCTATAGGAAGGGCTGAAACTCTAACCCTCNNCCCCCCCCCCCCCCCCGGAAAAAAAAGCACCGTCGACAGCCCTGTGGTTTAGGGAAGAGGGAAGCTTGAAGGTTTAGGATTTCAGGTCTGGCCCTGCTAAGAGGCTATGCGTGCCACGGTGTCGACCTACTCGGCTCGCTTCGTGGATGACGTCTCCCGGGTCAGCTTCCCGCTTGTAGGCCCGGCCCTTCTGGCTTCGGTAGCAGAAACCCCTAAACCCCAAGCCCCTAAAGCACTCCAAACCCACAAGCCCTTTAGTGCTCCGCAAAGCCTAAACTGCTGAAGCTGGGTTTCGGGAGGATGCAGGCTTTCCATTAGAGGCACCTGGTTGGGATTTAATTAAGGATTTCCGAACCAACGAAGCCTCTGAAGCCATCAATCCTGTCAGAAGCATAGGGTATGAACTGCAGTATGTAGGTGCTTTGCAGACCCAAATCACATTCTTTGAGTGCAGTAGAACCCTACAGATGCTGCTAAGTTGCAAGACGCACGTGCTGCTTCGAAGCGCAACACTTCTATGCTTCAATGGCTGAAAATGCTTTGGCGATCTGCACTTCCACGCTTCGAATATTGCAGGCACGGGCGAACCGGAATCAAAAGCAACGTCAGCTGTGTTACTAGGAGAGTGTGCAGTGCCCAAAAAGTGAAAGCACAGAGGCCTTGTAGCCTATAGCATGTGTAGCAGTCGACACGCATAGCTCAGGATCTGATCCAGACCTAAAAAGGGCTCTCTGGGATGTTGTCCAAGTGAAGCTTTGCAGTTGCGGGCGTTTGTGTTCTGTTTGCATACTGCTGGCGCTAGAGGCCGACACTTCATTTGGGGTTCAAAGGTCAAGGCTGCAAATTTGGGCAGTCCGGCTTTCCCGACTACATAGACAAAGACGGAGGAAGCCTCCTGCCCTGCGATTGCCTGTTCGGTTCATGACTGTGCAGGTGTCGTGGTGCTCACGGTGCTTTTCGTCATGGGGGCTGCGAACATCGACACAACGTGGCAGCCAGATGCATTATGTTCCATCTTCAATAATAGCCTGGCACTAGCAGGAGCAGCAGCAGTCGTCGTCGTCGTCGTCCTCGCAGATTTCTGTGTCGCAGCTGTAGCAGCAGTCATCGTCATCGTCGTGCTTGTAGACTGAGTAGTACGGGCAGTAGTCGTCGTCGCAGGTAGTGGTGGTGGCGTCGCTGTTGCTGTTGCTGCTGCTGCTCCTGCTGTTGTTGTTGTTGCTGCTGCTGCTGCTGTTGTTGTTGCTGTTGCTGTTGCTGTTGCTGTTGCTGTTGCTGTTGCTGTTGTTGTTGTTGTTGTTCTTCTTCTTCTTCTTGTGGTTGTGGTTGTGGTGGTGGTGGTGGTGGTGGTGGTGATGGTGGTGGTGGTGGTGGTGGGTGTGGTAGTGGTCGTGGTCGTCGTGGTGGTGGTGGTGGTGGCGGCGGCGGCAGGGTGATGCCGGCAGCTGCTGTTGCTGCTTCTGCTGCTCCTCCTACTTCGGCTTCTTCTACTACTTCTACTAATTCTTTTACTTCTACTACTTCTACTACTTTACTGCTTCTACTGCTTCCACTACCTTCTACCACTTCTACCTCTTCCACTACTTCCTCTACCTCCACTTCTTTCACTACTTCTACTACTTCGTCGGCGACGACGACGGCGAAGTCTACTACGACTGTACGACGAAGACCGCGACGACGATTATTCTTCCTCCTCCTGGTGCTGCTGCTGCTGCTACTACTACTACTACTGCTGCTGCTACTGCTGCTACTACTGCTACTACTGCTTCTACTCCTACGACTACTTTCCTTACGAAGGACACGTGACAGCTTGGAGCTTGAAGCCAACGAAGCTCAATGTTTGCAGCCGGCTTCGCTGTAATGATTCTCTGGAGTTTGTTCTGAAACGGAGTCCCGGCAATTTCGAAGCAAAGGATCATGATCGTCGCTCTCTGCATCACGTGTGGTTGGCTGGTGGCATTCGGGGCTGCCGTGTTTCTCTATGTGCGTGACTTGGCCTTGTTAGCTACTCTGAACCATTAGAGCGGTCCAAGAAGCCTGACAGACTGCATGCACGTCTGGCGTAGGATCTGATCTGGGATATGGAGTTGAGGGTCTAGTGGACTTCCGGATGGTTCGCATTTGTCGGATGCTGGATGGCCGCAGTTTTATGCCACCCGGCTGTGATCTGTGGGTTTTGTGAGGATACCTCCCTCACCGGCTGATGAGCATCCTGATCCGGCAGATCTCGTCCTCAGCATCTCAGCTCTGGCAAAGTCCTCCTTCACCGAAAGCTTGTGCACGTTATCGTTTTGGCTGTCATTGCTCTTCTTGTGATTTGTTGTGAATAAACACATTGTTCTTATTCGTACTCTAGTATCAAGATCATCCTCAATCTTCGTTCGTACTTTCTCGTACTTCTAGCACTCAAGCCCTTATAGAAACAGCATATCGTAGAAGTCTTATAAACCTACTGCTCTATATATACATATATATATATGTGTATATACATATAAACAAACAAATAACTAAATGTTATATATATACACATGTGTATATATATATATACATACATACATACATACATACATACATACATACATACACAGGCCCCAAAATACCCTCATAAAGGGAGCCCAAGGCCTCAACTGCAGGCCTCTCTGCTCTTTTCGGGGTCCGAGCTTCGGGGTCCCTAGTTCTGGTGCTCGGCATGTTCTTGCTTCCACCCCAAACAGTCGCAGGCTTGTCGGGGTGGTCATGTGGCGTCTGAGTTTTTTACTCTGGGGTTCAGGGTTTGGGTTTGGGCTTTAAGGTTGAGAGTTTACGTAATCTCCCGTGTTGCTGAACCTCCTCCAATACCGTTCCTAGTTGCACATTGGGGATCCCGCTGACGAACTGTTGCAGCGGCTGCAGATAGACTTGGACCGCGGGAAGAGTCTCTTCCTCTGAATCTCTGAAGCCCCATCCCACATCTTGACACCTCGAAGCCAATCCATGGCAACAAGAGTGTGAACCCTGCTGAACCCTTTAGGCCCGAAATGCCACGAAACCCGACGTGAACCCTCAACACGAGACAGGAACTCAAGCCTTAGACTTCAGACACTGGAGCTGGCTCTCCTAGGACTTCCGATACCAGAAGGCCATGGTTCTTGACCAGACCCTCTGCCGCAAGTCGGGCTGGCCCTTACAGGACCGGCCGGGCCTCTTCTGGGGATCCAATGTGGGTGGCCATGCAGATGTGCAGCCACGCGCTGCTCTTGCACTCCACATATCTTAAACCCTACAGAAGAGGACGGTCCCAAACCCTAACACCCGAAGCTCTAAATCCTTTCCAGCCCTGAGTCCCAAGCCCTGAACCCTGAACGCTGGTCAAGAAGCCAATTTTGGTCCAGAACCCTAAACCCTATGCACAAGACCTCAAGGAAAACCCTGTAACACAGTTTGTGAAACCCAAGGAACTCCACTCAAGTTCAACTCCGGAACCGCTTGTAAGCTCCTTTAAGACCCCGAGGAAAGAGCGTTGAACCCCGACAAATCCGGCAAACACGTTTTGAAATCCCTGCGAACCCAAGCCACCAAGGGAACAGCTCTAACACCTCGATAAACCCTGAGATGACACCATACAGCCCTACTGACAACTTGTAGCCCCGGGCTCCAAAACCAACGAATTGGGTTTTGAAAGGGGCATCTGGAGTTTTATGTGGGGCTGTAGGGGCCTTCATCAATTGGGATATGTTATAGTGTGGTTACTCATGTAGGGACTGCACGCGACTATTCCTACTAGTCATTCAGACCTCGTCATCGTAGACGCCTTACGAATCCCTAAACACAGCCGCTCAAGGAAAGAGCTCGCGTTGATCTTTCGCACCTTCGACGACGACGGCACAGGTGACCTCAGTGCCGAAGAGGTTCGCGTCGTCAAGAGGGGCGGTATTTTCGTCTCTATAGGTTTCTCTTACTGGGATTTATTTGGGTTTCAGAGGTTTTGTAGTGCTCTTGTTTTGTAGGTGTAGGCATTTCTTGTGCTTTGCATGTTTGTGCAAACGTGTGGTTCAACTAGGTTGCTGCTACTGCTACTCCTACTGGCATAGTACATTCGCCCCGTTCAGGTCATCGAGAGCTTCGAGGCCCGAGGCCTTCGCTTCAAGGACTCCATGGAGCACAACCCGGCGGCGGATTTAGGGGGCACTTCATTTGCAGCCCCACTGCCAAGTTGAAAAGTTTGGGGGATGTTTGGGGTATGGCGGTGCTTCGAGCAGCACGGCCGAGAGAAGTCGCTCCCACTCTCGGTTCCATGTCCTCCCAAAACTTTCCTCCAGGACCAGGAAGACGAGATGAACTTCAAGAATCGCTTGAAGCGCTTCGGCCCGACCTCCGGGACGGAGTTGCGGTCGGTTTAGGGCTTTCTGTGTCATCAGCATTGGTGCTGGTGCCACCGCGCCTGATTCTCAAGTTGATCTGCGAGAACGACATGGTACGCCAGCCAGTAAGTGGACGATGAAGGCCTAAGCCACCAAGACAAGAGCCCCATTCCTCCGAAGCCCAGACCACTTGATCTCGAGTCTGCGACCCCACGAAGAAACTCGAAGCACACACAGCCAACAAGAAAGCCTTCGAACCCTAAACCGGACATCCTAAGAACTACTTTGCTTTGAGAGCATGTTAGATCCATGTTGTTGCGGGTAGACGACCTTGGACCCGCAAACCCCAACACCAGGCGCCACAACTACACAAAAGAAACTAGTATTCTGGATCCCAGCCTCCGCTTTTGAGGCAGATGTTCCGTCAAAAAGCTGGAAACAGGCCAGGCCCGTCGTCGCCCTGTTCATCCGCAAAGTTTGCGTAGTGTAAGCACAATAGCCAGAGTAGCCGTCGGTGTTGAGAAAGGTAAGGGTGTAGGGAGTCTAACCGCAGGATAACGCAGCCATCGCAGTGCTCAGCATGCTTGCCACAGTCGTCAGAAGTGGTGTCATCAGAGCCGAAAATGCAGCATCTGCACTTCAGAAGGATTTCAGTAATTTTGGCTGTCTTTGGAAACTGTCAAAACATATTCAAAACGTTTCCCCAAATCAGGAAGGTGTTTTTTTTTTTTTATGTTGGGTCTCTTTTTAACTTGGCTGTTTTTCCTTGAATTATTGCGTTCAAGGACGAAAAACGCGAGCCTTGCAGGCCAACATTTCTGCAACGTTGTGAGATGTCAGAGGCCCCACACGTACTGACTTCCATGGTCCACTGCGCTTCAGATTCAGAGCATCCATGGCCCAAGCCTGTGACGTCCATGGTCTACTGCGTTGCTGATTTCGTTTTTTGAAGTGTCTTCTTATGTCCAAGCACGCAAATGCGAGAAGTGAGGGCCGAAATGCATTTTTCCACTGTCTTTCTGTAGTGCGTTTGAGTCAGAGAAGCTTTTACAATTTTAGAATTCCGTCTTAGGCCTTATCTTTTAGGTTGGATTACATTGTCTTCTGACAAGGCCATAAGCTAACCAGCTAAACTGGCAGAGCCAGAAAACCCTTGAACTTCAGCTTTCAGGGTTGGGATCGCCTTGCAACTTCAGACTGTTTGCAACTTTGTCTTCTTTTGCTTCGCGACCTCCGTCGCCTCTGCGGAGGAAGGGTAATAGTAGTGGTGGTGGTAGTAGTGGCAGTGGTAGTGGTAGTGGTAGTGGTAGTGGTAGGGGTAGTGGTAGTAGTGGTAGTAGTGGTAGT